GCCATGTTGTCAAATGAGTGGGCCATTCGTTTACAATAAAAAAAAAAAATTAAAAAAGTGTATATTTCACCGTACTTACAAAATGTACAAGTATGATTCTAATTAATATCATGGATATTGTTCCTGTGATTTTGTAATTTCAATTTCAATGAATATACAATAACTTCTTCCAAACCGGGCAATATTTACGATAACCTTAATTTACAATGTTAAAACTGGTACTGTTCCCTTGTTCATGTTCATGTTTTTTTTTAACATTAAATTTGGGTCTTCGTCGATACCATACTTATTCCAGACGTTCCGTATTAGAGGACGTTTGTGGCATTTCCTCTGCACTTGTATTATTATTACTTCATCACGATGACAAGAATAACAGTAGAGAGCAACGTTAATTGATAAGACACAACAACAATTCGCTGAAGGCATGTTTACAAAATGTCAAAACGAGCCAAAGACCAAAAAAATTGACAAGGTCAGTTAAGCCCCTTTTATGGAGACAAATACTATGCTATTCATAAAAAGGCTTTCGGATTTTCCAATCGAAATAATAGCAAGCTTACTTAAAACATTATAATAAAAGAAGAATTCTCGCCTGTACTAGCCAATTTTCACAAATTTAAAGTTGTTTATAAAAAATTATATCATGAATGATGGTTAATTACGTTTTTTGGGTAATCAGTCATACCGCATGTTGCTATTATTACCATAGGAAAACACCTGAGACGTCCCAAAAATATATAGGTGCTCCTATCATTGGAGTAAACACTACACAGTTGTGTACTCACACATGGCGGCACGAAATACGATCGGAAATCCATTTGACGATATCTCAACGTTTCAAAACGAAGTGAAAAATATCATGCGCCACGCGGGCGCTTACATTTGTCACTCTTTGCGCCATTTCTGGTCGATAAGCGCAATTGGCGCAAGGCGCATGTCCTTCCCGATCACTGGTGTTTAAGTGTCATGAGTGTATGGATCTCTCTGAAATTGTACTACAAGGTTCCATAAGTACTACAAAGCCAAAGGGAAGGATGGGATTGAGTCTTGGGGTAATTGCTCCAAGGGGGGTTTCCAAATAATTTTTTTTTTTGGGGGGGGGGGATTTTTTTTCCAATTTTTTTAAGGAATTCATATTTTTTTTTCAAAAATTTTCAAATTTCAAATTTTTGAAAAGTTTAAAGCAGAAATCTTCAATTGCGCAGTATTGTGCAATAGATTTGTAAGATCTTTGACCACATTTATTTTGTGTCAGAAACCTTTATTATGTCAAAAATTTGATCACAATGAAAATTCAGACAGTATCAAGCTTGAATATTGTATCCAAATTTGTCCCAACTGTTCAGGGTTCCACCACTGCGGTCGTATCAGACTGCGCTCATCGAAGCATTTTATTTGATTGGTTTATGCCCCCCCCCCTTCCACCTTGCAGTAGCGTTTAAGTGATATATGGTACAGTCAAAACCTTAGTTCAGATTGATGTATATTTTGCAGGTTTCTATATTTAAAACAATTAATTACTTGATGATCAGTTGCATACTTATATAATTTAATTATAAATCAATGTTTACTTGGATTATTTTTTGTTTGCAATTTCATATATATGAAAACCAAATCCTAATTAATGTTAACAAATCATGTGTTACGAAAACAAGATAAAGTAGCCATGCACAACTTAGCTATAGAAAATAGAGGATTTTATGGTATAACTAGTCCAAATAACTTGTAAACTATGATGTCTTGAAATGCTATTATATTTATTGCTTTGACGCCTTACATCGTCAAAGCAAAAAATATAATAGCATTTCAAGACATCATAATTATTTGGACTATGGTATACATGAGGGGCCTGATGGGTTATTTTCGTTTTTCGTGATCGGCGCATTTTCGCTATCATGATCAGTTTTTTTACAGATTTATTTTTTTTTTATATTTTCGTGATCCGTGATCATGGAAATTTATTTTCTATGAATCGTGATTGACAAAAAAATCAACTCGTGAATCGTGATGAGAACCCCCCCCCCCCCCCCCCCATCAGGCCCCTCATACATGGTATAACAAGCATGACAAGAAATAATAGAACATACTGTTTCGAGTGTTTGTAAAAAAGATATAGAGGATGAGTTTCATTTCATCCTCAAATGTCCATGTTTTCAAGTTTTTCGAACATTTTATATTACATGTATTATGCCATATTATTGGAAAAAACCAACGATGTACTGTGTAACAAATTAATTAAATTAATGAGTACAAACAATGTAAAAGAGCTGTGTAATTTAGATAAATTTATATTTAGATCTTTTAAGCTTAGAACCGAAAGATAAAATAGAGTTTATTTATAATAACAACGCCTTCTGCTATTGTAACACTTGTGGCATTCAGTATGTGGGAGAAACAATGGATAAATTCAATATTCGGCTCAATAACCATCGTTCATGGTACAAAACCAACAAAAACTGTCCTCTCACAAGACATCTTCGCTCAAAGAAATATCCTTTTGATAATGTTACTTTCCAAATCATAGAAGTCAACACCGAGTGGGACACCACGGGGAGAAGGAGAAGAGAAAACTTTTGGATCCGCCAGCTCCACACTTTAGAACCGGATGGTCTTTACGAAAAAGACGAGAAGAGATACAGGAAAGATAAAGAATAATTTAATACACAGCATCGTCCTTTTTATCCTGTAATATTGGCCAATGGACGTTGCAAACTTCAACCACAAATTTTGTATATAATCTTGAACTTCATCCACATTATGTATTATTTACAAGGCAGCTAAATTCATGTGCAACATGTACATTGAGCTGCAAAAGTTTCTTATCATCTGCATCCGATTTCACCTGGATAGATGCACGCTTGATAAAGCTAGTTTGTCTAGCGAAATATTGTGTTTATTTTTATTGTTTTGTAAATATTTTAAACATTCTAATATTTACATACTAAATAGTGTGTTAAAATTACATTGTTAGGCAATCTATATATATATATATATCCGGATAATGGTGTACAAATTTTTTGCACCTCATGTTTGCGGTATACCATCTTTTCCGCAAGTTTATTGTTTTCTGATTGGTATCAAATTAATAATTAAGATCCATTTTTAAAGGCAGTGCTTTAATGCCTTTCTAGTTGCCGGGTTAATCCTTCCTTCCGCGATATCCAACTTATCTACGTGGGGGGTCATTAGACTCCAAGTAGATCCAGAAATGTTGAATTCTCTCCTCTTCTTATTGCGATATAAAATGTTTTTTGTTTCATTTCATTTACATTGGGAAATAGAGAAACGATCATTGTGTTTTGTTAGTTTTAAAAACTTTTGATATATTAGTATTTTGCATTATAAGCAGTCAACCGATTGACAAACTAGAATTATTTGAATTCCGTGTGGAAAGAGCTCGGGTTAATTTAGATATGGCACAAAATGTGCACCTGAATATAGGTATCTTGTTTTGTTACCCCCGTTGAAGCAATGGTTACATTGGTTACATTGGTTACACACATGGACCTTTACGAAATGATATGCAATACCGGCTTTATAATTGACCATTTCTGCTGCAAACTGAATAGGTAGGGGTAGAGCTATTGCAATGATTACATACACATTGAAGTTAGGTTACAATGATAACATGCATGTGGAAGTCAGGTTACAATGATAAAATACATATGGTTTGGGGATAACAATGGTAACATAAATGGGAAATGATGGTAACAATGGTTACATGCATGGGAAATCAGGTTACAATGGTTACATGCATGGGGAAGTCTATAGTTACAATGATTACATGAATGGAGAATGAGGGTTACAATGGTTACATACATGGAGAATGAGAGTTACAATGGTTACATACATGGGGATTGCTGGTTACAATGGTTACATGCATGGGAAATCGGGTTACAATGGTTACATACATAGGGATTGCTGGTTACAATGGTTACATGCATGGGAAATCAAGTTACAATGGTTACATGCATGGGGAAGTCTAGTTACAATGATTACATGCATGGAGAATGAGGGTTACAATGGTTACATACATAAAGAATGAGAGTTACAATGGTTACATACATGGGGATTGCTGGTTACAATGGTTACATGCATGGGAAATCGGGTTACAATGGTTACATACATGGGAATTGCTGGTTACAATGGTTACATGCATGGGAAATCAAGTTACAATGGTTACATGCATGGGGAAGTCAGGTTACAATGGTTACATACATGGGGAAGTCAGGTTACAATGGTTACATGCATGGGAAATGAGGTTACATGCATGGGGAAGTCGGGTTACAATGGTTACATACATGGAGAATCAGGTTACATGTAATGGTTACATGCATGGGGAAGTCGGGTTACAATGGTTACATACATGGAGAATGAGGTTACAATGGTTACATGCATGGGGAAGTCGGGTTAAAATAGTTACATGCATGGGAAATCAGGTTACAATGGTTACATGCATAGGAAAGTCAGGTTACAATGTTTACATGCATGGAAAAGTCAGGTTACAATGGTTACATGCATGGGAAATCAGGTTACAATGGTTACGTACATGGGGAAGTCAGGTTACAATGGTAACATACATGGGGAAGTCAGGTTACAATGGTTACATGCATGGGGAAGTTGAGTTACAATGGATACATGCATGGGGAAGTCAGATTACAATAGTTACATACATGGGGAAATCAGGTTACAATGGTTACATGCATGGGGAAGTCTAGTTACAATGGTTACATGCATGGAGAATGAGGGTTACAATGGTTACATACATGGAGAATCAGGTTACAATGGTTACAGGCATAGGGAAATTGGGTTACAATGGTTACATGCATGGGAAATCAGGTTACAATGGTTACATGCATGGGAAAGTCAGGTTACAATGGTTACATGCATGGGAAAGTCAGGTTACAATGGTTACATGCATGGGAAAGTCAGGTTACAATGGTTACATGCATGGGAAATCAGGTTACAATGGTTACATACATGGGGAAGTCAGGTTACAATGGTTACATACATGGAGAATCAGGTTACAATGGTTACAGGCATGGGGAAATTGGGTTACAATGGTTACATGCATGGGAAATCAGGTTACAATGGTTACATGCATGGGAAAGTCAGGTTACAATGGTTACATGCATGGGAAAGTCAGGTTACAATGGTTACATGCATGGGAAATCAGGTTACAATGGTTACATACATGGGGAAGTCAGGTTACAATGGTTACATACATGGGAGAGTCAGGTTACAATGGTTACATGCATGGGGAAGTTGAGTTACAATGGTTACATGCATGGGAAATCAGGTTTCAATGGTTACATGTATGGGAAATCAGGTTATAATGGTTACATGCATGGGGAAGTCGGGTTACAATGGTTACATGCATGGGGAAGTTGAGTTACAATGGTTACATGCATGGGGAAGTTGAGTTACAATGGTTACATGCATGTGAAATCAGGTTACAATGGTTACATGCATGGGGAAGTCAGGTTACAATGGTTACATACATGGGGAAGTCAGGTTACAATGGTTACATACATGGAGAATGAGGGTTACAATGGTTACATGCATGGGAAATCAGGTTACAATGGTTACATGCATGGGGAAGTCGGTTTACAATGGTTACATACATGGAGAATCAGGTTACAATGGTTACATGCATGGGGAAGTTGAGTTACAATGGTTACATGCATGGGAAATCATATATATGTAATTAACCTCAATATTAGATAGTTTAACAAATTTTGTCAACATATATAGTTATTGAGTAGAAAATAAAAGAATGCATTATCGAAGCCGAAATTTGGTATAAATAATCTTACATGTATGTACTAGTATTTAATACAAGATGTAAAAAAAAATCATTCTTTTTCTCTAAAGTTAGTATACAAGGATGTGGTATTTCTAAGTTTGTATTTATTTTAATTGAGTAAACATTCCAAGATTATAAACAAAATTGTGTTGAAGTTTTTTTTTAAACATTTTAACAGATGGTTGTCAAACGGTAAACGAACAAACAGTTACAGGACAAAAATTCACAGGACAGAAAGTCACAAATAATTTGTTGACAATTGTTTGAATATACAGAATAATAATAAGTCTTAGAATATTTATTGAATCCAATTAAACATGTTAAAGGGCCCGTTTCCGAGCATATACATATATATATACAAGAGAAAGATCTTTGAATATTTTCTTTTCGTCGAGCATGCGACTTTTGTCACAAAAGCGAGACATATCGATCCTACATTCCGTTGCGGCGGCCGCGGCCACAAATATTCACTCTGTGGTTAAAGTTTTTAAAACTTTAATAACTTTCTTAAACTATACTGGATTTCTACCAAACTTGGACAGAAGCTTGTTTATGATCATAAGATAGTATCCAGAAGACAATTTTGTAAAAAAAATCCTGTTTTTCCGTAGTTTACTCATAAATGGACTTCGTTTTTCTTCCAGTTAACATTACATTTACTCTGTGGTTAAAGTTTTAAAAATTTTGATAACTTTCTTAAACTCTCCTGGATTTATAACAAACTTGGACAGAAGCTTGTTTATGATCAAAAGCTAGTATCTAGAAGAAAATGTTGTAAAAATTTATTTCCTGTTTTCCCGTATATTACTTATAAATGGACTTAGTTTTTCTTCCAGTTAACATTACATACAGTCTGCAGTTAAAGTTAAAGTTTTTAAAACATTTATTAGATTCATAAATCATCTTGTATTTTACATCCTGGACGTTTACCAAACTTGGACAGAAGCTTCTTATAATCAAAAGATAGTATCTAGAGCAAAATTTTTAATATTTGTTTCCCCATTTTTGCTGAACCTGCGACTAACAGCTAAAGTAGGCGAGACACTGGGTTCCGTGGAACCCTTACGAATTTTTATTACATTAGATTAGATAGATTCTTTATTAAGATAACTAAAAGTACATTAGTGTTCTCCATTACAAATCATATGATAATATACAAAACAACATTTCAAAGTTTCACATGTAGATCATGTACTATATATATATATATATGTAATACAATTGTACACATAATTTTAAGAATTGTTTCTTATTTCTAATGCATCTCTAATAAATTTGTATAAATAATTACATTCAGTAATATTTTGTGGATTTAAAAGTTTAAAAACTGAAAAATAATTATGTTAATCTTTCAAATCTAAGATCTAAGATTGGAAAAAAGTTTGCCTTATAACTTTATATTAATCACAAGATATCAAAAAATGTTCTTTTGTCTCAACTTCAGTGCAAAATTTGCAAAAACGTTGTTCTCTTGGAATTTTGTGTTTATTGTATCTACCCTGTTCTATATTTAAACAATGAGCACTGATACATAGTTGTGTTATTTTACTTTTTATATTTTTGGTAAGATTGGTTTGAAGATAGAAGGGAACAAAATTTGGAATAAAAATATTACTGAAAAACATCAGTTTACTGTCCACAGCTCCAGATTTGATTTTTTGAAATTGTAAGTCAGATTGCTGATTATAATATCTTAGACTATTTTTAAAAACACTATTATTTGTCAATTTTTTTGTATAAAGTTTAAATATTTTATTTAGGGTAGAAAACCAGCATTTTTAGTTTTCTTGAGATAATTCTTGATCTGCAGTAAATGCACTATATAATATTCTATCTCTTTTTATTTTAAGTAGTCTCATATAATAGTTATACATTAAACATAATGAGAGAATCAACATTGGATTCCTGTTACATTCAAGTCTACTAGCCATATTTGATGACTGTCTTTTGACCCCCAGAATAGATTTCAACATCTTGTGTTGTAATTTATCAATTGGTAGATTGTCAAAATTATTTAAATGTATGTTACATATATTCATTTCACTGTTTAGGAAATTGTTCATAAGCCTTGTTAAAAAGAAAATTTATTAAATTTTAATCATGCAAATGATATATTTCTTGGCATCATGATCATTTATGTACCAATTGAGCCACTCTGACATTTTGTTTTCTTAACAATTATTTGATCATTATTGATATTTATCAAATAAATTTTAATTACAAAGTTGGTTTATATATAATAGTTCAAGAAAAATACAAACTTTTTTTTTAAATAAGTTTTTTCTTCTTAAAAGAAAAATTTAATCTCAAAACTTAATTGTGACTTTTATTCCTGTGACTTTCTGTACTAAATTCTTGTCAAACAACTACATTTTATTATAATTTACTTGCTTCTATTTACTCTTTAAATTTTCTATCTATTGTTTAATATCTGAACAGATTATGACATCAAACTTTCTTTTTTTTTTTGTTCAGACACTGATGTATATTCAATACACAGGTGCAGTTGGTATATTGCTGCTTAAAGATGTGGACAATTTTTAATTTCAAAATTGCAATAGTTTCGTTTGTCATAGATTCTAGTACTGAGATGACCACTGTAATCAAATTGAATGTACAATGTATATGTCTAGAAATAAGCAGAGGAAGCTGTATCTGTGTTTTATTAAACAATTTAATGAAATCCTCCAAAAAATAATTTAAAAAATTATCCAAAAGTTTAATATTCCAAATTAACTACGACTATTTCCTGTAATTTTTTTCCTGAAACCTTTTCTCTGTGATTACTTTTTTCATGACTTTTTCTCCTAAATTCTTCAGGAAATGCGCAATTTTATTCTTTTGTCTAAACATTCTAAAAAGTATAGGTTTCTCTATAAAAGATTTTACTTAGTAATTCTGATTTTTCTATTCCAAGTCTGTGTCTTAACAGTCTGAATTTTGTCTAAATATGTGTCAACACATTCGTAACACTGTCAGAATTTGTCTCAACATGCTCTAAATGCACTCTTCACGGTCTCAACTTAAGGCTGTTGTTGTCCTGACACATTTTATACTATCATAATTCTATTTGAAAAAGTCTGGATATGTACAATTTGAACTGACTTGATGTCTTCTGTAGTAAAAACAATTCGATTTTTTTTCTGCGACAGACCTCAGAGACTACCATAACACAGTAGTCTCAGGACCAACTTAGTCAAGGTCTTTATAAACTCCCCTAATAGCAGGACTTTGTTAATGTTAATGTTAATGTCAAGACCAATTACGGAATCTCATTTAGCAAGAATGTTAAATGATTATGATGGTGTTTTATTTGTGTTGACAAGGATCATCCAAAAAACAAAATGTGGTTGTTAATCTTGAACAGTGTAAAAAAAAACACATCTTCTCCTCTTTATTTAACTTAACTATATAATGCTTTTCCATTTTTAAACTTGCCTTAAATTTAATGAATCAATAAACATCTTCCCCAATGTAGCAAACTTTATCATTTGTTTATTACTTATAATTCAAACTCTGGGTATAACTTACAATCTTAACTCTGTTTATTACTTATAATTCAAACTCAGATTATTACCTAATTAATGTTAATATCCTGAGTATTGTCTATTCTAGAGACATATAATATATGCATTATATGTCTCTGTCATTTCATATTTCAGATTTGCATGGCATATCAGACAGCTTTGCAATTTCATAAGATGTATCAACAGTAAAATCATTTCTTCTTCTCAACCATAACTTTAACATATTTAAACACTAAAATTATTTCTTTAAACATGTTTATTTGATTTTTTTGTATTCTCATATTTTTATTTATTTAATTATTTATTATTTTTTTCTTTTTTTTTTTAAATATTATGTTATCTCATCTAATATTTTTATTCATGTTTTTAACTTCTCTGTAACCTATGTACTTCATGGTTTTATGAGAATAAACTATATATCTATCTATGTTATAATTTGTTTCAAATGGAAGGTTGTAAATTTCTTCAACATGTTCAAATGTAAATCAAAGACATGTTAGAAAAAAATATCACATTGAATTAAAATTAAAGTGTGTCCTTGTATTTATGTATTTATTGAAAAAATAACTGTATTTGAATAAACCCTAAAAAAATGTAAGTCCTAAAATAAAACCATGCCCTTATATTGAACATTTTAAGACATAACTAGCAAAAATTCTGAATTAGAATCTGTTAACTTAAGACATTATAATGAAATTTAAAATTTGTTCAACTTACATCAAAACTATAAACATCATACACACAGATGTAAAATTCAGCAAGAATAAACAGATTGTTGAAGAAGTGGTTGATAAGATAATCAAGGTCTTTGCCTCTGTGTTTTTAAAGTATGTAGTTGTTATTTTTATGTCTTTATTATTTATTTAATTTTTGGGCTTAATTCTAAAATTAACAGGAAAAAAATATAGTTTACATAAAGTTCCCACAAGATGATAATGAAAGCTTAATTTGTTTTATATTTTTGAACAGAGATTATAATGTATTATATGTCTCTGGTTAAAATAATGAAAATAGAAAAGACCGCATAAAATAATCTTATGGCATTATGAATGCAATCTCCTTTAAGAATGTAGGAAAGAAAGTCACAGGATTCTATTTTGAAGTTGTTAGAAACTGGGACTTATACATGATGGGACTTGAACATCTTTTGGTAGTAATTGGTGCTTTCAAATACAGCAAAGGACTTCTTGCATGTCTTGGTGCACTAGAAACAGAGTTTAAAAACTAATGACCATAAAACAAGTGTTTTAGAAGCACAGAGTACATATATATGATATAAGAAAAGATAAATATAAACCATAAATTAAAAGTTTGGTATTAATAGATATTATGATTTTGCAATTAAATGACT